TTTTTTGCAAAAAAATAGAAGTGGTAGAAAATTTTAGATACTACGTGAGGAATTAAAAACATTTTATTTTCAAAATCGAAGGGGAAATGCAGAGGCTTTTAAATAAAGCACATAGTTTGTATGACTCCTTAAGCTAGTCGATCTGAAATATGGTGGGTGACATATTTGTAATTACTAGGGATCTATGCAAAGTTTTGTAAAATTAAAAAAATAATAAATAAAACAAAATCGAGGTTTTTATTATTCACGATTTTCTTTTTTGTTCAGAAGTTGCTAACCTAGCAGGGGTTCGTTCGTTTAGTTTTTTAATCAATGGTCGTGAGAATCAGAATGTTTTATAAAATTAAAAAAAATCAGTGTTGTGTGGGAGTAAGACGATGATGATTTCTCTATAGGCATCGGTGGTTCAGTGGTAGAATGCTCGCCTGCCACGCGGGCGGCCCGGGTTCGATTCCCGGCCGATGCAATTCGATTTTTTTTTGTTTAAAAATATGAATTGCTGAAATTTCTTCTGATTTCAACATGCAGAGGAAATACAGATTAGTTTTAGTTGCTGTGCGCTAAAGTATTGGAATATTATATTTGTACCAAAAAAGTTACACCGCCCGAGCAGGGACTTGAACCCTGGACCCTTGGATTAAAAGTCCAATGCTCTACCGACTGAGCTACCCGGGCCGATAAAGATCTGCTGTGAGATATTGAGCAGTTATCGGCAAATATATATGTATATATTTCAAACTGAGATTTAATTTCTGTCGACTCCAAAGTCAGAGTCGAGAAGAAGGTCTGTTGTGCGAAAATATATATTGGATATCCGAATTAAACAGGGAACTCGAATCAAATTGTAATTCGTCGATCTGGGTCCATTAAAAAGTATTACGAAAAATTCCACACATATTCCTGGTTCCTGGAAAAACATACCTAAATACATCCGTTCCTTTGATTGTCCTGGTGAAAATATTCTTAAAAAAGCCACGCCTATATTTGTCATTGAAAAAATATTGTTAAACCAGTAAGGAAAGTAGTAAAGTCGGACGGGGCCGACTATATAATATCGTTCACCACTTTGGGTATATTCAACAGATGAATCCTAACAGACGTCGCATTTTTAAAGGACCAAAACTGATTTTTAGGAAACTTAACACACATCATTCTATACCTAATTCATTACGCTGTGCAAAATTTCGTGCAAATCGAAAGATATATAGGGACTTTGGTGCATCATTTACGTTAAATCCGGCGAAACTAAATATGGGAGCTATATCTAAATCTGGACCGATTTTCTCGAAACTTGGTACACATCATTCTGGACCTAATTCAGTACTCTATGCCAAATTTCGTGCAAATCGAATGATATATAGGGGCTTCGGTGCACCATTTACCTTAAATAGGGCGAAAATATATATGGGAGCTATATCTAAATCTGAACCGATTTTCTCGATACTTGGCACACATCTTTCTGGACCTAATTCAGTACTCTATGCCAAATTTCGTGCAAATCGAAAGATATAGAGGGACTTTGGTGCCCAATATACCTTAAATCGGACGAAAATATATATGGGAGCTATATCTATATCTGAACCGTTTTTTTTCCAATTTCAATAGGATTCGTCCTTGGGCCAAATAAGTGACTTGTGCCAAATTTCATCCAAATCGGATCATAAATGGGACCTGTACTTTGTTTACAATTTAACATCTACAGACTTACAGACGGACGGACATGCATAAATCGACTCTGAAAGTGATTCTATGCATATTCTCAAAAGGAACCATGTGTCTATCTCGTTTCCTTTTGCCAGTTACAAACATACATATGCACAAAGTCATAATACCCTCCACCACAGTGTGGTGAAGGGTATAAAAATCGATGCATCAATTGGTCCTCCAAAATATTGTTTAAAAAATCGGTTTTTATTCTTTAAAAAATCTGTTCTTGAAAAAATATTTTTTAAAAAACGGTTCTTGAAAAAATATTCCACGCCTACATTGGTCCTTAAAAAATATGCTTTAAAAAATCCACGCCTACATTGGTCCTTAAAAAATATGCTTTAAAAAATCCACGCCTACATTGGTCCTTAAAAAATATGCTTTAAAAAATCCACGCCTACATTGGTCCTTAAAAAATATGCTATAAAAAATCCACGCCTACATTGGTCTATAAAAAATATGCTTTAAAAAATCCACGCCTACATTGGTCCTTAAAAAATATGCTTTAAAAAATCCACGCCTACATTGGTGCTTAAAAAATATGCTTTAAAAAATCCACGCCTACATTGGTCCTTAAAAAATATGCTTTAAAAAATCCACGCCTATATTGGTCCTTCAAAAAATATTCTTTCAATAAACCACGCCTACATTGGTCCTTCAAAAAATATGCTTTAAAAAATCCACGCCTACATTGGTCCTTCAAAAAATATGCTTTAAAAAATCCACGCCTACATTGGTCCTTCAAAAAATATGCTTTAAAAAATCCACGCCTACATTGGTCCTTCAAAAAATATGCTTTAAAAAATCCACGCCTACATTGGTCCTTCAAAAAATATGCTTTAAAAAATCCACGCCTACATTGGTCCTTAAAAAATATGTTTTAAAAAATCCACGCCTATATTGGTCCTTCAAAAAATATTCTTTCAATAAACCACGCCTACATTGGTCCTTCAAAAAATATGCTTTAAAAAATCCACGCCTACATTGGTCCTTAAAAAATATGCTTTAAAAAATCCACGCCTATATTGGTCCTTCAAAAAATATGCTTTAAAAAATCCACGCCTATATTGGTCCTTCAAAAAATATGCTTTAAAAAATCCACGCCTATATTGGTCCTTCAAAAAATATGCTTTAAAAAATCCACGCCTATATTGGTCCTTCAAAAAATATGCTTTAAAAAATCCACGCCTATATTGGTCCTTCAAAAAATATGCTTTAAAAAATCCACGCCTATATTGGTCCTTCAAAAAATATGCTTTAAAAAATCCACGCCTATATTGGTCCTTCAAAAAATATGCTTTAAAAAATCCACGCCTATATTGGTCCTTCAAAAAATATGCTTTAAAAAATCCACGCCTATATTGGTCCTTCAAAAAATATGCTTTAAAAAATCCACGCCTATATTGGTCCTTCAAAAAATATGCTTTAAAAAATCCACGCCTATATTGGTCCTTCAAAAAATATGCTTTAAAAAATCCACGCCTATATTGGTCCTTCAAAAAATATGCTTTAAAAAATCCACGCCTATATTGGTCCTTCAAAAAATATGCTTTAAAAAATCCACGCCTATATTGGTCCTTCAAAAAATATGCTTTAAAAAATCCACGCCTATATTGGTCCTTCAAAAAATATGCTTTAAAAAATCCACGCCTATATTGGTCCTTCAAAAAATATGCTTTAAAAAATCCACGCCTATATTGGTCCTTCAAAAAATATGCTTTAAAAAATCCACGCCTATATTGGTCCCTCAAAAAATATGCTTTAAAAAAGCCACGCCTATATTGGTCCTTCAAAAAATATGCTTTAAAAAATCCACGCCTATATTGGTCCTTCAAAAAATATGCTTTAAAAAATCCACGCCTATATTGGTCCTTCAAAAAATATGCTTTAAAAAATCCACGCCTATATTGGTCCTTCAAAAAATATGCTTTAAAAAATCCACGCCTATATTGGTCCTTCAAAAAATATGCTTTAAAAAATCCACGCCTATATTGGTCCTTCAAAAAATATGCTTTAAAAAATCCACGCCTATATTGGTCCTTCAAAAAATATGCTTTAAAAAATCCACGCCTATATTGGTCCTTCAAAAAATATGCTTTAAAAAATCCACGCCTATATTGGTCCTTCAAAAAATATGCTTTAAAAAATCCACGCCTATATTGGTCCTTCAAAAAATATGCTTTAAAAAATCCACGCCTATATTGGTCCTTCAAAAAATATGCTTTAAAAAATCCACGCCTATATTGGTCCTTCAAAAAATATGCTTTAAAAAATCCACGCCTATATTGGTCCTTCAAAAAATATGCTTTAAAAAATCCACGCCTATATTGGTCCTTCAAAAAATATGCTTTAAAAAATCCACGCCTATATTGGTCCTTCAAAAAATATGCTTTAAAAAATCCACGCCTATATTGGTCCTTCAAAAAATATGCTTTAAAAAATCCACGCCTATATTGGTCCTTCAAAAAATATGCTTTAAAAAATCCACGCCTATATTGGTCCTTCAAAAAATATGCTTTAAAAAATCCACGCCTATATTGGTCCTTCAAAAAATATGCTTTAAAAAATCCACGCCTATATTGGTCCTTCAAAAAATATGCTTTAAAAAATCCACGCCTACATTGGTCCTTAAAAAATATGCTTTAAAAAATCCACTCCTACATTGGTCCTTAAAAAATATGCTTTAAAAATCCACGCCTGTATTGGTCATTAAAAATATGCTTTAAAAAATCCTCGCCTATATTGCTCATTAAAAAATATGCTTTAAAAATTCCACGCCTTAAATGGTTGAAAAAATATTCTTTAAAAAAATCACGTCTTTACTGGCCCTTGATACAATATTTTTTTTAAATAATCCACGTTCATACAAATAAAAATATTTATTCATTTGTAATCAAAATTTATTTATTATTTATTCATTAAAAAAAGAAACCTTCAAAATATGTAATTTAAATTCTTATCATATCTCTTCTGAGGACACATTTATCGAAAACTTAAAATTGCAAATTACATGATCGATGATTCACAATTACAAAAATCTGGTTCTTCATTACCTATCTAGCTATACAAGTTTATTTCTGATTCATCTGTAATATATTTTTCATTCATGTAATGATTACCAAAAAAAATGAAGTCATAATTGCATGGTTATGTGCTCATTGTGTGTGAACTAATTTTTAAATCATCATTAATCATTTTGTAACAAAAACAAAATTGTAATAAATGTTGTCTGTCAATGTTTCCGTTTTGTTTTTTGATTCTCTGTTTTATTGCTTTTTTCCATTCATACTTACTGGTATCTGAACAAATGAGCCATTATTGAATGTGGGATAGTGGAATAGCGGCACAACGGGCACGGTGCCATTTTTGAGGTAAATTGGTCCTTGAATTGGTGTAACGGTAGGCATTGTTGATTTGTGTGAACCATCTGAAATGAGGGAAAATACAGAAACAAAATTCAATTTTAATATTTACGATAAGGTAGAAAAACAAAAGACTTAAGAAACGAACATTACATAATAATTGTCTTTGTAAATTATATTTTGAAGAGCACGAATTGAGTAGAGTAATTGAACAAATATTGCAGCAAAATTCCCAATTTTGTCCAAATTTATGGATTTATCTGTAATTGAAAAAATCTCTAAACTCCCTGCCCAGTTACCGTTACTATTTTATTCCTTTGTATACATATTTTTACAGTTTTTCATCTTCATAAAAAAATCTCAGCTTTTCTTCTTATTTTAACACATTTGTTTATTAAACAAAAGCCCCCAGCAACTGCCAATCTTCATTATAAACCCTACACAAAACATGTCAACCTTACAATGAATGAAATGAAAACCGCACCAGCATCACAACGCTCAGCATGACTCTTTAAAATTCTGAAGACGCTATACATAGTTTTTATATTAAGCAATCTGGCACCTTTTCTGACAGCTATCAGTCACAGCAAAACTGCAGTAATTTAAAATCCCCCTCCGCAATTCACGCGTATGAGTTATGACAACATGTTCGACTACTGTTTTTGGGGGGAGATATAAACCATGTATCTCTTAAATCTGATCAGAAGCAAGCATCCATCTTGTAGCTGTGTTTTCGTATTTTTATTGCTTTTGTTGTTGTTGTTGTCGTGTTATTTTTGAAGGCGTTTAACTTGTTTATTTGCATGCCAAAGTAAATATTGTTGACACAAAACGCCTGTCGATGCTGCCGCTTGTATTCTGTTACTACCGGCTTGAAGATCGGAATCAAACAGCTGTATGGTGATGACGTTTTTGATACCATACGGGGGGATGATAATTTGTTTCGGAGGGATTTTTAAAGAATATGTTTTCAGGGACCAATTAAGGCGTGCAACGACCATTTAAGGCGTGGATTTTTTAAAGAATATTTTTTGCAACGACCACTTAAGGCGTGGATTTTTTAAAGAATATTTTTGCAACGACCCTTTAAGGCGTGGAATTTTTAAAGAGTATTTTTTGCAACGACGATTTAAGAGGCGTGGATTTTTTAAAGAATATTTTTTGCAACGACCATTTAAGAGGCGTGGATTTTTTAAAGAATATTTTTTGCAACGACCATTTAAGAGGCGTGGATTTTTTAAAGAATATTTTTTGCAACGACCATTTAAGAGACGTGGATTTTTTAAAGAATATTTTTTGCAACGACCATTTAAGAGGCGTGGATTTTTTAAAGAATATTTTTGTAAGGATCTCTAGATTTGGATCACTAAAGGCGTGGATTTTTTAGAGAATATTTTTGTAAGGATCTCTAGATTTGGATCACTAAAGGCGTGGATTTTTTAAAGAATATTTTTGTAAGGATCTCTAGATTTGGATCACTAAAGGCGTGGATTTTTTAAAGAATATTTTTGTAAGGATTTCTAGATTTGGATCACTAAAGGCGTGGATTTTTTAAAGAATATTTTTGTAAGGATCTCTAGATTTGGATCACTAAAGGCGTGGATTTTTTAAAGAATATTTTTGTAAGGATCTCTAGATTTGGATCACTAAAGGCGTGGATTTTTTAAAGAATATTTTTGTAAGGATCTCTAGATTTGGATCACTAAAGGCGTGGATTTTTTAAAGAATATTTTTGTAAGGATCTCTAGATTTGGATCACTAAAGGCGTGGATTTTTTAAAGAATATTTTTGTAAGGATCTCTAGATTTGGATCACTAAAGGCGTGGATTTTTTAAAGAATATTTTTGTAAGGATCTCTAGATTTGGATCACTAAAGGCGTGGATTTTTTAAAGATTAAGCATCTTAATATATACATTAAAAATATTTATTCATGTAAATAACATGCGAATATTCCAGAATATTACAATACACTAAAAGGTATTTCTTTTAGCATATCACCGCGTCGATTGGTTATATATGTATATATTTTGTGTTATTTTTTTACAATGGTTTACAATTGGTTGGTATTTTAATCTTTATGTTTTTTTTTCTTGCTGTGGTAATTTGCCTTTATACGAGCATTAACAATTTCATTGTAATCCCTGTCATGTCATTGCGGTGGCAACAACAACAACAACTGTGTTTTATGGATTTTCCAAAACCTTGGTAAACAAATTTGCAGTGTTTGTCAGTTTTATGAGCAGCATTTGCATGCACTTAAATCCTGTCTTAAAGTTTATGGATCATTCGAAATCGAAGTGATATTCAATATCAATTCATTATTGAGTAGCTAAAATGGCAGAATGGCGTCACAAAAATCCCTTCAGTTGTTAACCTACTGTGCTGATGATGGACGACAAATTCATTATCGCTGCAAGAGGAATTCATACGAAAAAATATAAGTTTTTTTATTCTCATCTCGTCTGGGTAAAATGCAGTACTGCATGATAATTAAATATACATACATACAAACATGTACGAGTATATATGCAAGTATGAACCGCTTTTTGGTATGTCTGGTGGGGTCGGTTTTTAATTGCGTTTGTAGGTTTTTGCACGATTTTGTGCTTGTTTTCGTTTTATTGAGTGCATTGGCAGATCTTCTTCTTTTTGTTTTTGCAGAGTTTCATAAATGCATTTTTTCCAAAAAATCACAATCAAAAAAAATACTGTTGATGATAAAATGCAAAATACCCTAAGTCAGAAAATTGATTAACTTCATGCATTTTTCTATAGGGACTGTAAATATTTCACTTACAAGTCTACATATATTTTGTTTCTAGAAAAAAATATATACTTAAGCTTCTTTGCTTTTTCACGTGTAACATTCAGTGTTACACACACACATTTCTATATGAGTTTTTCAAAATTGCATACAATTGCTCCACATATCCCGTTGGTTAACATTGCTGTTACGTGTTTTATTTCTTTTTCTTGTTTTTCTGACACACATAACATCACTAGGTCGCTAGGTACCGTAATCATGAATCAGTTGGACATTTTGCAGACCCTTCTTGCATGCATACCAAAATTCAAGTTCCAAAATTTTAGCAGACAACTTTCTCTTTTGTGGCATACATTGATATGATGATGTCAATTTGGCCCTTTTTATGAGACAATAAACACACACACACACTCAGCAATAACAAAAATATTACAATGTTAGCCCAAAAATTGATTTTTTTTATCTCCAAGAGATGTCATACTGTGCTGTAAATGGATTGTAGATCAATGAAAATGAGTAATAATTATTAACCAAATTCATATTACTCGTAATTACGCAATTTTCATTAAATTTTTGTGTAGAAAAAATCCCCCACATTTTGAAAAAGTCCATGCTTATTAAAAAAAATCACTTGAAAATTTAAAAAAAAACCACATTTATAAAAATTTTTAAAAACAACAGCTTTTGCTAAGAAAAAAATAATGCTTCTAAATCAAAAAGTCGCAGAAAATTATTTTTATACCTTACACCAACGGATGTACAACAAAATTTCTGTAAAATGTTGGGAGTTTATACGAAGACAAACTCGAAGCAGTACCTCTGTATGTATTTACGAATATTTATTCTATTTACCAGAACGTAAAATGTCAAATTACAATCTTGGTAAAAAACCTTAAATTTCTGAAAATTGGACGGGAACTTTATATGTCGAAACATGGACTTATAGGGATTATTTTCTGTGCACATGTATGCCAGCCTCCAAAACCTTAAAATTCGAAATTATATCATTTTCGTTTGGAATATGCAACTAAACCCCTCAAATTGAGACTCACATTTATATGGGATCGGGTGACGTAGGGGATGATAGATACCAAACAACGGATCTGATTGGCTTTAATATGGCAAAGGCCAGGCTTATCTTGGCACCTCTTTCATCTCAATTGTGGACACCCATAAGAACAATAAACAAATGTGTTGAGGCGTTGGGTTAGTTGCCCACGATCGGAAACCCCTCCTACTATGAAAAAGAAACGAACAAGAAAAGAAGAATAAAATACCTCTTTTGCCAGATTTAATCCAGTAGATGAGCAGATTTCCACGATCTGCGAATCTGCACTTGGAATGTGCGCACATTGTACAGAACAGGCGCAGTGTTCGCTTTGGCGGATATACTCAAGAAGTATAGCTGTCATGAAACGAGACATGAATTTAGCTGCGGATTTATGGTTAACAGGAGAATAAAAGACCTTGTCTCCAGATTCACTCCAGTAGATGAGCGAATTGCTATAATCCGTATAAAAGCGAAGTTCTTTTACATCAGTCTAATTAAAATGCGCCCATTTTTAGCTCCAAATTAAAGAAAATAAATATTTATTTCGAAAAAGTCAAGATAAAGATGAACAGACCAAGGATATATTTTACGCTTATAATCGCCTAGAAACAGCATATGACCATCGTTGCCCTGGCCATGACATTAAAATTCTGCTAGGAGATTTTAATGCAAAAATCCGCTAATATTTAGCTATTAATCGGAAAACCGTATCTTTGGCCCCACCTTCCAAAATTCAGCCTTCATGAACCTTTGGGAAGAAATTTGTTTGTTATCCGACATCGGCATGAGGTTGATTGACTTCGTGGCAGCAAAAACATGGTAGTTAGCAGCACCAGATTCAAGCATCTCGATATACACAAGGCCACCTGAATCTCTCATGTTGTGATACGAAAAGGAACAATCTCATCCAACATCAATTTCTAAGTTCAAACGGACCACAACCTTATTTTATTATGTAGCAGCCCTTTTAAGGCTCGCACTAGTTTTATATGTTGCAGCAAAGGTGCGAATTGCTAACACAAGTTCTTTTACATCAGTCTAATTTGCCCCCATGCTCCGATCGAAGATAAAGATGAACAGACCAAGGACATATTTTACGAGCGCCTTGAAACAGCATATCAGGTAGCCGAGGCATACTCCGCTCAACTTACCCACCTGCCTGACGAAAGCACTTCTTGTCCCGATAATAGTATAGAAGCACAATGGCAAAGAATTTGCCCACTCCCTACAAACTGCAGCAAAAAGAACA